TCTGTCGTCCCTTTCTTCTTTTGCCCTCCATCTTTCCAAGCATGGAAAGTGAGTCCTTCCTTCTCATTAGGTGGCAAAAACATTGGAGCTTCATCTTCAGGATCTGGCCTTCTAAACAGCAGTCAGGGTTGATATCCTCTAGGACTGACCGGTTGGATCGCCTTGCAGTTCAAGGGACTTGCAGGAGTCTTTTCCAGCACCATAGTTCAAAGACCTCAAGTAGAAACTTACAAGAACTCAAAAGAAGCAATTGCTGAAAAATTACACTAATGAAATATGGTTCTCTTGTCTATTTAAGAATGTTCCCCTCTCTCTCTATTCAGGAACTTCCCCAAATTCTGGCACAATTTGGGGGCAACTCCAAGGTTGTACACAAGTTTTTGAGCTGTGGGCTGCAGATTTTACGTATGTTCTCCTTTCAAGCTATAGGTGATGGGAACGAGAGAAAATCGGGATCTCTATGGAAAACATGGGAATATTTTGTTCTATCAAATGTCAGCATATTGTCCCCAACAATCTGAGTCTTCATTTTACCCACCTCAGAAGGATGGAAGGCTGAGTCAACCTTGAGCTTGTGAAAATCGAACTGCTGGCAGTGAGCAGACCTAGCCTGCAATAAAGCATTCCAACCACCATGGTTCCTAAAGTGAATTGACAAGAATAATGTCTTGGTGTCTCAGTTTTTAAGTAAAGCTTACATTGCCTACAAGTTCCTTCTCGGTTTCTTATGTCCATCTTTTCCAGAGCTTCTGATATTGAAAGTGTCCAAGCATTCAGTCCAGCTCATTGGGGGAGTTTGAGTTTTATTATCCCCTGCATTTCACCATCCAATGGAAATAATATTTTAAGGAGTCTTACTCTCTTCCCCTCTGCTGCGATTTTCTGGCATTTCTGTTCTACGTCTACAGTGGAAATTTTTGTTGTTGTTGTTCTATTAATTATTCATTATTCTACCCATAACTAATTGAAAACATATTTTTCAGAGCTCATTTGGGCTCAGCCTGACAACTGTCAAAATGAACTTTCGGGGGATTTCCCCCCCTTCTTTTTACCATTCAGCTTCATACTTGTGGTGATTTTCATACAGTGTCCCTCATTGAGGGAAATTCTGCTGGATTTATTTCAGGTTAGCTTTTGACCACATATATTTATTTTCCGACTCCTTTAAAAACTTCCTTCTCAAGGTCTCCAGGGTGTGGTCAAAGAGTCAAGATAGTATCTGCAACATTCGGATTGATTCCATCTGCTTTTTTAGTTGTTATTGTTTGTTTGTTGATATACAACACATTTGTGTTGCAGATTTAAAAAACACACAGATGAAGTTTTGGCTGCACACAGTTGAGTCCAAAATCTTGACTTTTGTGACCATCCCCTGCAAACATCAATGTTTGTTAGAATAGAACAACAGGGTTGGAAGGGACCTTGGAGGTCTTCTAGTCCAA